TGCCGCAAACTTCTAAGGAATCCAATCATTTTTTGGATTTCTCATAAGGCGGCTATGTCAGGAATAGAGAAGATCGCATTACGATGCGTATCCACCCGTGATAGCTCAGTGCCTTCGAAGCGACTTGCTTTGGCAATAAAATGTGTTGCCAGCGAGTCACGAAGTCGTAGGATGGATAATCATATCACAGAACGCTTTTTATACTCATTCACGAAAGTGAATGAGTAGATTGGTTTTACGCAATGTCCGTGTTGCTGTCCGTCCGTCTGCCCGACTGTCTGTCTGTCCGTATGAACGCAGTTTATTTTGGCGCTATTGAAGCTAGAGACTTGAAATTTGATACACATACTCGTGTATATCGCCGATTTATAATGTGTCAAAATTTTTACGAGCCGCCTACTAGGGGCGTGGATATCGTGTTATATTTTGGACATTATTGACCTCAAATTTGGTAAATATACTCGGGCTGACCTCCCAAGTCCAACAAGTTTTTATGGAATATGTACACCCACAAGGGGCGTGCATAACCGCAAAAGTTTATATCTCCTAAAGTATAAGAGCTAGAAACTTTCAAATTTGGATAGTTAAGTTACCAGTAGCCTCTATCGACTCCCTAAATAATATTGTTACGCCTCTTTAGGGACGAGGCATATCAAAAAATACCCTGTAATTTTTTTATTTTTGGAGCGTTGGCATCCAAATTTTGCAACTAGGTTACGGTTGGGTAGTTCCATGAGCTGACCAAAAATGAAGTGTCTACGCCAGGTAGAGGCGAGAAAAATAGAATTCTCTACAGTATTAGAGCAAAACTTGCCTACTAAATTGCTTATGAGGTGTGAATGAGTTCCACAGTCGGTAACGCCGAACTGCAACCTTCCCTCAAGTTTTTAGTTTTATTTTTTTAATCGAAAAATATTGATATATCGATTTTTGTTTAAAGTTGCATATCAAATATCATTATGATATTTTCTCAAAACTTAAAACATTATTGATACGATATTTTAAATATATTTGACAACCCAATTATATTGAATTGTTCAATAGCGAAGCAATGGGAGAATCGATAACATAACATATTCAATAAGAAAATTCCCTGAACCCTGCAATGATCTGATATTTCAATCATATTACGTTTCTTTCTTTGCATACAGAATACACAAAAGCTGCACATAGACATACGCATGCGTAAGCGCGCAAAACTACGCGCTCTGCTAACTGCGCAGCGCAGAGGGCGTTGCTGCAAGCTATGTTATTGATATGCATTTGTAGGATTCGTTTATTATCGATACAAATTGATGAGTTATTGAGATTCTATCATTTTCATTTTCGGAGATCTCTGCGTTAGTACGGGTGGATAGATGGACATAGATCAACTCAGTTCGTCAATATATGTAGCTTTATTTTGCAGTGTTTTGCGCTGGTTGTACCTCACAAAAATTATCTTTATCAGTACTATCGTTCAGGAAAGAAAAAAACCAAAGAACATTAACATATTCTATTATTATATTGATGAAATTAACTCAAAATAATCGTGCAAATTGCGATTTCTCGGTATGATTTCAACAAGCTTGCAACTACTTTGACACATTTCGAACTGCATTTGAGATGAGCCTGTGTGGTGAGTTAGTGATACGAGCGTAAAATGGAAAATTGCTCGTATCGAACATCTGAAACGAAACGCACTTCACAATTGAATTTCAACGACTTGGAACCAATTGATTTAACATAGGTTTATTTCCAAGAAATAAAATGAAAAATAGTCAAAAAGTCCAGCAGCAAACTAAGCATTGTCAAGTTCCAGCACACACGCTATGTTGAATGAGTCTGCATCGACGAGCAGGAGTCACAGCCAAAGTGTGCAGCTCCTTTATGCTCGGGTTGCTATTGTATTTATTATGAAAGGAGACACCACTGCTGGCCTTTACTAATGACAACTGCTATGTTTTCTTTCAGCTTCCAATTTGCAACGCATGAGCCTACGTATTCTTAATTTTGGTACAAAGATCACGTTCCTCAATACCCTACACTATTCTTCTCTGCTCTGCTTTGCTCTGCTGGTTCGACCTAGTCGTCCGTTAAGGAAAATCAATTTGTTCCAAATGGGTGACGATGTATTGCTTTTATCCAGTAATATTGTGTTTCACTTACTATCCCAATCTTTCTAGTTTTAGGTATAATGCTGACCAAAGATAAATGTTTTAAAGTCCAACCATAGTAAATGGCACATGAAATGCTAGGCGTACGCTCTGTGAAAATTGTGATTTAAACGGCAATCGAAATTTGTCATCCAATTCCAATGTAAATGTCTAAATGTCCTAATACTTAACATATATTTAGTTTAACCATTTCCTTCTTTGATCAGACTATATTTATGATCCGCCACTAAAAACTTGTTAAGTTGCTGTCCATTTCTTATTAAATTTATACAATTAAGCAGCCCAATAGGCATACAATATATCGCGTTTTGGAAACAGATTTACACGGGATGGAATGTAATATTTGAATTGAAAACTTTTGTATATATTCTGAAAAACTTAAGAGTTCATGCTAAATGCATAAAGTACGATTTTCGACTTTAGTTAGTGGATCGAAGAACTTCAATTTTTTCTCGACATTTGGAATAACTAACGAATTCCAAGTTAACAATCGATTGTCATTGAAACTCAATATTTTAATAGTCATTAGCACAATCATATATAAGAAAATTCATGTGATATTAGCAGATTTGTTTCCATTTTTATCAATTGCCTTTATTATCATTATTGATTAAGAAGGAATGACAGGACTAAACTATAAGCAACAAAATTAAAATTTCTTGCTCAGACATCTGGAACATTGGCGAATCAAACAAACCAAACAAGAAAGATTAGGCCTATCTGCCTGCTCAAATGAGCTCGTTATTGAATCTTAACCAAGTAGAACGAATCAAGGTAAATTCTTTTAGAAACCAGTCAACCATTTCCAACGCATACATCTGCATTTATGTATGGAACGTGTGCGTGTAAATGTCAAAAAAGAAGAGGAGGCTAAAATGTTTTTTTTTTTTTTTGGTAATAAATAAATTATAAAATGAAATAAATAAAGTACCGGTTCACAACGAGAAATGGCAAATAAAGCTTAGGTACAATCTTTACATAAGCATTAATTTTCAACAGTCCGAACGTTGCATTTACACCCTATCAGCAATTTAGTAGTTAAGTTTTGCTCTAATACTGTAGAAAATTTATTTATCCTCGATTTGCCACGCCCCTAAGAGGCGTACACACTTCATTTTTGGCAAGTTCATAGAACAAGCTAACCGTAAACGAACTGCAATTTGGATGCTTGCGCTTTGTGAGGGGGTTCAGGGTATAAAAATCCCTATGTTGTGAAGGGCAGAAGGAGGCGTGGCAGACCCCACAGAGTATCAGGGCAACGAGCTGGTCCTGTCCGTCTGTCTGTCCGTATGTATGAACGCGTCGGTCTCAGAACATATATAAGAGCTAGATATTTCAAATTTTGTTTTCCCATTGAAAATGGGAAATCAGGGTATAATGCTTTTGTGAAAAAGTAAGTAACGGGCAGAAGGAATCATTGCAAACCGCATAAAGTGTATATATTCTTGACCAGGGCGACGAGCTGAGTCGATATAGACCTGTCCGTCTGTCCGTCCGTCCGTATGAGTGCGTCGATCTCAGAAGATACAAAAGCTAGAGAGCT